AAAAAAAAAAAAAAGAAAGAGAAAGAGAGAGAGCTACAGTCTTCAGTTTCACTTTCGCTTTCGTAATCAAAGCTACTAGCGTCAACTTCAAAAGAGAGAGAGGTGTGGTAAGGGGGGCGGGGGGGGGGGTGTTGAATCAATGCTATATACATTATATTTCCCTATAAATCCCTACATATCCCTATATATATCCACGAGCGAAGCCAAAAAAGGGGGGGGGGGGGTTGGGGCCAAAAAGGGCAGCAGTTTGAAGAACTTTGTGGGATGGAGGCAGTTTAAATGTAATGTAGGCCTAGTAATACATATTAATGGAATAATTTATTTATTTTGTTTTTCAGTCTTTAAATTTGTTAAAAATATTTTTAAAAATTAATTTTAAATTTCGATTCAATTCTTTAGTTCTATGCAGTGGTTGTAGTTAATGTTATTCAATTCTTTAGTTCTATGCAGTGGTTGTAGTTAATGTTAGAGATGCCCGGAGCGGACCGGGAATTTAGCCGCCCCCTTCCACGAAAACAAATGCAGCTGGCAGAAAATTCCGCCCCTAAATGTATAAAGTATAAGGTGAAAAGTGCCACCCGGGGGGGGGGGGTGCCTCCTCCGCACACCCCAATCGCACGCCCTTGATAGTATGCCGACACTTGGAAAGTTCTGCCCCAACCCATAGCCTTAACTTTATGGTAAATTGCCACTTGAGCTAAGAATTTTAGAAACCACCATTTTATGATTAGTTTCCAATTGTGTTGTTGCTTGAGATGAATGATGCCCCGATTAAGACCAGCCGACATAAGGTGCCATACTCCATACCTATCTTTGTATTGGCCATAAAGATCCCATACTCCATACCCAGCTTTGTATTGGCCATAGAGATCCCATACTCCATACCTATCTTTGTATTGGCCATAGACGTCCTATACTCCATACCTATCTTTGTATTGGCCATAGACGTCCTATACTCCATACCTATCTTTGTATTGGCCATATATAGCGTGTTTTCATTTTTACTAAGCCCGAGCTGTGACTTTGGATGGTACGTCCCCTGCCCGCTACTTACAATCCAAATGATCATCCGTCCCCGCTGTCGTGTTTACAGTGCAGAATGTGTAGCA